CCTCTATATCTGCTAGTTAAACTCTTACTATTACTATACCTAATACGCTAGTAGGGCGAATAGGTTCTCGGTAGTAGTCGGGGACGGTTCCCCTATACGGTCGGAAGACGCGTAGCTCGCCGATTATTCGGCGCTCCTCGCTTATTCGATATCGAGTCTCCGTGGATAACTATCTATAGATAACGTCCGCGTTCACACCGAATTAAGAGACGATAATAAGGCCGTATCGTTATTATTATCCTATTAGTTCTAACGCTCTTCGATACCTTGAATAGGCTCTTCTTATTACACGCCCGTATCCGCCCGCTCGGCGTCGGCAGTGCTTTATAAAGTCCGCTTTAATAGTATCTTCGGCCCGGTAACCTTATAGGTATAGAAGTTAAAGCATTTATTAAGGAATAGGCTATAATACTAGGGAAAAGATACACCGTAGCGGATAGTATAGTTCGGACTTTATAGTCGTATATTATTAAGACTTTAACTTAAGGAGGAAACGGGGACTTTTCCCCCTCTCTACTAACGTGGTAATTTTAGTCTCGCCGAGTGCTTAGCGATCCGAGCGTATCCCCGATTATACACAGTGCTAATCCACAGTGCCACTCAGTTCCTTATATAATAATACGAAAAGATTGTGTAGCGAGCGTTACTATATAGGTTCCCTTAATTATTAAGCTCTTCTATAAGTCCCCTCGGATATATAAGCATGCCTTATATTATTCGAGATATCCGTCTTAGTCGAACTTATAGGTAAAACCCCACTTTAATAGAAAAGGCTTTAATTTCGCCTCTAAGCGCTTAATTTCCCTCTATATACGTTTTTTAATTAGCTTATTCACCTCCTTCGACGCGGCTTCCTTAAACCGTTTATGTATTAGGTGGTTAGTAAGCTCCTGCTAGTACCTTAGTATAGCCTTTAGGTGGTCGCGATAAACTCTGCTATTAATTAAGGGCTTCGGTAACGTTATAGCCTTTTTTTTAGTATTTAAACGGGTATTTATTTTAGTATCGGCTACTCCGAGGATTATTAAATTAAAGGTTAGAAGCCCGTTTAACCTATCCTAGCGCTCTTCTTATTAATTAGATAAGAAAAAGGCATAAGTTAAAGGCACGTTTAGCTTTACCTAATATATCCGTGGATTATTCTAAATAGTCTTTCCTTAAGTATAGCGATCGGTGATTCTTATACTAGCGCGCGTTATTTCCTTTACTAGTATACTCTTTTTCCTTTAGTAGGCGGTTACCTTAGAAGTCGGTCGGATAGGTGGTTTAGATCCGGACGCTATAGTATGGTTAGTGCTATAGTACGGATTAAGGGTAGCTAGTCCCTATACCGTCGCCTATATACTCCTTTTTATAGTTAAAATCGTCGAAGTATCTGTATTAAGCTCTAGTATATATAATCCTAGCGTGTCGGTTACGGTGTCTTCTTAGGTAGCCACTCCGTTATTTTATTAGTCAGAAGAATTATTAATTAAGAGTTTCTCCGAAGGCTACGGCTCTACGCTTATAACCTAAAGATTCCTGCTCTAAGGATTAGGTATTACGCGTGGGGTTTAAAGTCCTATTACGGGCGGTTCGGGTATACTAGGTGCGTCTATATCTAGTAATAGCGAAAAAGCGTCTATTTATGCCTTTACTACTCTTACCCCCGAGTTTAAACCTATAGACTATACTTATTCTCTAGAAGGTACGCTATTAATTAATCCACCCGGAGGGTAGGCCTATAGGATAAAGTCGTTATCTTTATCTTCTTATATTTCGTAAGTTATAAGCTAGTTCCTCGCCTTAGGCTCCGGGATCTATTCTGCTTCTTCGAGCCATAGTTTATAAAATAGCTGCTTATTAAACTGTATATTACGCGTTATAATAACCTTCTAAAGCTATAGAATCTATACTCGGTAAATATTATAGGTAATATAACCTATAAGATACTTAATATATCCCCTTAGTTAAATCTTATATAGTTTTCTATTCCTCCTAGCCTCTTTATCCCTTACTATTAGATAAGCGCGGCTGCTATAGATATAAATACCACTCTAATCAGGGCGTAGGTCGGCTATATACTCTCTTACCGGAATCGGCGTATTATCTCTAAAACATAAGTTAAGGATTTCCACTAAGGATTTCTATCCGTGTCGTTATAAGGGACTTATATTATATAATAACGCTACTATTCTAGTACTCTCTGGCTATTTATCTAGTGGAATTCCTACTCCGTTAAGTATAGCGTTAGACTTTATAATAATTAGTTAACCGGCTCTTTCGCTACCTCTATTCGGTTTATAGGTGTATGGCGGTGTAATTTCTATATCGATCCCTTAACTACTCGCCTATAGCTAGGTTATTAAATCCTCTACTAGATTAACAATTAAGGGCTTATTATTACTACGTATCTTATAGATATATAATATAAACTACCGATTAACCTATTATTCGAAGGCTTATAGCGCGTTATAAACCGTAACGCTATTTTTTAAAGCTAAAGGTAGCACGTAGATCTAGCCGTTATATTCGTCCTTTATTATAAGAAGATATCGTATACCGTTATAGCTCTTAGGTAGCTCTTAAAGATCCTAATAAATACGCTAAAACGGTTATAGGGAGCGGTATTCTAACGTATATCGAGATATAACTTAACGTGCCTAGGTTCTAGAGTATATCTCGTAGTCTATCCGCTTAATTCCCTTAATTAACACGTTCCTAGCGTTATAAACTAATACTCGTAAAGCGCTTAGTCTAAGATAGCCTGCTTTTAAATACTATAGATATTCTTTATCGACTCGTAGATAAGGAGGGTCGCGGGAAGGTCGGTAATATCGGTAAGCTCTAGTTAGTTAATCGACTATTATAATAAGTATATACTAATAGTTATAGTTAATCGGAATAATACTATATAGTATCGGTTAGAATAATAAATAAGAAGAAGAAGATAAAATTAGCTTATACTAAAGGATAGTTATATTAAAGCGTCGAAGCAGCTTTAATAAGACCACGCTTTTCTCCGCTATTCTAAAGCGTAATAAGCAGTTATAACCCGAATACTAGATCCTAACCTTATATAATAGAGCTTCTGATATAATATTCGTGTAAAATCCCTTTATAACGACTATATCGTTAAGCTCTAAGTTAGTTTTCGGAGTACCTAAAGGTCTATTAAGGATTCCCTTAAGAAGCCGTTTACCTTTACTAATAATCGGAAAGTCGGTTATACCGGATTCGATAAATCCCTTTATAGGAATAAAGGAACCTAGAATAAGCAGGTCGATTAAGTTAATAAGGTAAGTTACGCCGTAATTATTAAGAAGAGTGCTCTATAAAAGCGGGTAAAGGTCTAATCAGAGCGCGGTATAGATCCTAAGGACCTCTTCTATAGTATAGATAAGGGCGGGATTTAGGATAGTTATAATAACCTTCCTAGGATACCTATCTCCCTTATTACTACCGCTCTCTAAGCTTTCCTATCTCTTTTTCGATAGTTTTTTCGCGTAAGCTCTTCCGCTTTAGGAGCTTAATCTCCTTCTATATCTCCTTACACCACTTATCGTTAATATAGGTATTAGATCTCTACTCGTATTTTCCAGTTAAAGCGTACTCTAGCTTATTATAGTGCTCTGGCTTTTATATATATTCGCGTCGATAGGGGTAATTAGTACTCTTCTTCTTAGGCTTCTTTCCGTCTTTATTATTATCTAAGCGGTCTTTTAGGGTCGCGTAAACGCCGTGGCACGTGCCGTTTATAGTTAAAGCGCTTATAATAGCGTTAAACTCACGGCTATATATTAGAAAATCGGAAATCTTATCGCCGCGGACCTCTTTTATTATTAGCTCCTAAAGCTTAGTTTCTGCCTAAATAGGCGTAAACTTCTATCTAACTACTATAAAGAAGTTCCGAATAGTAGTAGGTCCTTTAATCTCGGCTACCTTTTACTAATATACGCATCTAATAAGGGTATTCTACTCCGTATATTATATAGCCACTTTAGTATGAGCTCGATAAGTATCTTATAGATACTTTTCGTATACTTATTTTACCTCTTCCTTCGTATAAATACTACTTAGGGCGAAGCTACTCTTAAATTCTTTTACTATATAGCGTAACGTAAAGTGTCGATTTTATTTTTCCTTTTTATAGCCAGGATATTTTTAATAGCCTATTCGATAGCTTATTAATAAGTAAAGGTCTCTATAGTAGTTTTAAGTAGTTAATTAGCCTTATCGAGCGCCTTAATAAAGCGACCGAGCTTTTAATTCCGGGCTATAGTCTACTAATTCTCGATTTCGGCGAGACGTATAAGCTCCTATATTAAGGGTATAATAGTATTATCGCCCTCGCCTTAAGAATACTATTCGTGTAGTTAATCCAGGGATTTAGGTATAATATACTTAGGACGGTTATCTAGCTAATCCTTTTAGCTAGGATTAAGTAATACCTAGACCTTTATCCCTTACGTATACGATTAGATATAAAAGATCTAATCGGCCTATTACCGCGTGGATTTAAGACGCGGGATACCGAGCGCTTTAGCCGTGATCTTAAGCTTATTCGATATAGTATCGAGTAAGGGTTTAGCGAATAAGAGCTTATTATTAGGAGAGAGAGCGTAAGAGGGCTCTATAATACTATAGAAGTATATAAAAATAAACGTAGATAATAGATTAGTAGGAAGTTACTAATTACTACTACTACCCGGGCTTATAACTATTAAATTAACGGGAGTGTGCTTATAAGGAGTATTAATTCAGGAAATATATAATTATATTATCTATAAAAGAGAAAGAAAAAGGGGCGGGTATACGTGTCCTAAATATATCTACCACCTTCTAAGCGAGGATAGTAGGGCACCTCTAACTAATAGGAGAGCACTATACCGTGGCTCACGTGATAGAATATAACACCAGCCGACTTCGGAACAACGCGCATATTCGCGGAGTGGATAAAGAGAGGATTTTCGGAGACATCATATGACGAAGGCATGCTATGAAAACACAAGATCAAACTAGCATAAATTACGTAAGGAATTATATTAATTAGAGAGCTAGGGTAGATATCTAGTCAGGGCGATACAGGCCAGGGTACTTAAGCAGAACGGTTTCCCTATATAAATACCGTTCGTTTGATGTACCTACGCCCGAACAGTCCACCGTTTTTATACCGACGATTTCCCACAGGACTAGTTATCAGACCACGGCTGTGTAGGGCCGATACAGTTGTGCGTTGTGCGTTTACATATGCCACCAAGGCCAAAACGTACACGCACGTATACGTCCACCCACCTGTCATCGCCGATGCAAGGGGCTTCGACGAGGTCAGGCTAGCGAGGCATAGTCTCCAAGCCCGTCGAATATCACTGGAAAACTTCCTTCTTATATCTCCCAGTTGGAGTTTCCGCTGGTCAGATTGTTATGGCCCACAGTGGTGTAAAAAAGAAAAGAAAAAAAAAAGGGACAAGAGAAGAGAAGAAACAAGAAAACAAAATCATATAGAGAGAGATTGGGGAAGTGTGCTGTTATCGAATTGGGTTCCGTTCCTGGCTGAGCATTTGACGCCTCCTCGACGACCAAGATGCCGGATGGCATCCGCGGTGTCCGGGAGATGTCGAAGACTTACGCCCCGAGACCAGGATCAAAATTCAGATTGAACAAAGGACATGCGGGCTGAACAGGCTACAGGTCAATGCATTAATAAGGGCTCAAGACCTACCAATTCTGGTCAGATGACGTTGGATCCTGCAGGCGTAAAGAGAGACTGACATTATGCACCTATACGTACGAATGCAGTATACACCGTGACCCTGTGGACTGTGACAAGGATCGAACGGATGAACAGCTGAATGATTTGCATTCCCAACTGGCTGCTCGAACATTCTGCCTTACTTGGTTGGGTGTCTGAAACCCAAGGGAAGCATGTGTCGTTCGCCGGTCCACGCGGCTCCCAGGTGCATAACACCAACGAGTTGTAACGGCCGTTCAAAGATCCGTCATGAGTCCGCATATGCATGTCTCTCGAGACACGAGCAGAATGACCGTGACAGTGGTTGATGTCTAATTGAGTCTCGAGGGCTGGTACGGGCAATACATGAACATCTCATTAGAACCAAATTGACCAAGTTACCCTGGATAATTTCTATTCCAAGCGATCTCTGTGGTACGTATGGCTAGCTAAAAGTGCGGGTGGCGGCTGGAATTCAGGGCCTGTTCGACGCTAGGGGAACAATGGCTTGCAGTTACCGCTCCGGCGGGAACCAAGGCGTCATGGGCTTCATAGAAGAAGCCTCTCTCGGAATAGGTATAGTATGCGGATAGTAAAGAGGCGGTTGGTGACTGAGGAGATTCTTGTTTGGTCATTTGATGCCGTTGCGGCCCAGGGCTTATTCCTAATAGGTACTGATTCTTAACTTAGAGGCGGAGGAGGGCTTGGCCAATCCGGGCTTGTTCAAACATATTGACCAAGCTGAGCGTAGTCGCCAAGGACTTCGTGCATATGTGGTAAAGAAAGACCACTTGATATCGAGTTGGCGATACCATGACATTGAGGCTGTTTTAAACATAAAACGGGGCTCACGAACTCACGACCGATATACTGATGATGTGGAAGCATGCTTGAATCACGTGCCATATGCGGACACCGTATCTTCCCTTCCAAGTGTCCCTAAAACAGAATGTTGTATCAACCAACGATGGCTTCTTCTGTGTGGGCAGGCCGTCCAGTGTGCTTCAGGTTAGGGTAAATAAATTTATATCATCAGTCCCTTTAGGATCCTTTAGCTGAACCTGGTCCTTTGACGTACTTACTTCAGACCCAATGAGCGGAGAACGAGGATATATTTGGCTGACTGATGCGTGTAGAAAGTAGATAGAGGTGAGACACTTGGAAGATGAACCAACGGACTCCTGAGGATAATGGGGACGTACGGAGTAGATCAAGGTGCGATATTCGGAGAAGATGTGTTGGGCACTGAACGAGCTGTTGGCAATATTACATCCCTCTTCTGCTTCAACTACTTTTCTTTCCTTCGTTCTGAGTCTCAGCTCCCCAGCGCACATGATCAGACGGTTTATGGCACAGCAAGCGGGCACATCTCCTGGCTGAAGAATCAGGGGTCGCCACGTCGAGAACCAAACTGCCTGTCTGCCGCCTTGCATGCTCCGCTGTCTAATTCCATGGCACCGAGCGTGAGGAAGACTTCGTCAACCAACAGGAGGATTAAAACCCTGTACTCATTGTATGTATGTACGCTTTCAACCCGCCGGTGATGGAGTCGGGTGCAAAGCCGTGATTTGTGTTGAGACGATGCAAGCAAAGACAGGGATGATGGAACGGCAAATCCTCCAAGACTCACGCGTCCGCACATCAACGTATGAATTCAAATGCAGCCAATCGCTTACATAGAAAAGCGGTTTTAGAACGGCTATGGATACTTTAGCATTCGAAGTTCTAAAGCCCGAATCTCGATTCGAAAGCGGAGCTGGTGCCATTGGTCGTGAGAAGGGAAGAGGAATAGAGGCGGAGCAATAAAAACGGAAGCGTATTATGATTGAAAAGACGGACTGCGCGTGACGATGTTCTGGACCCATCTGTCGGTGAGGCCAGACGAAGCAGGTCAAACAGCAATACAATGTACGATTGAAGAAGATCGGACAGCGGTGCTACTCCGTCAGCATGAGATTAGCCCGGATCTGGTATGGGGCTTTGCTAAAAGCCCAGCGTGGTTTCTCCATCTCGGTAATGAATTTCTCGACGAGTCCAGGCAACATGCAATTCTTATATGGTCCCAGATCCCAGAGTTGCTGACCCGTGCAATGCGGCTGTTGTAATGTGCTGACCATGACCCTGGAGGCTGTATAATAATAACAAAAGACAAAGAAAAAGTGGCGACCATTGACCAGGTGAGGCTAAAAATCTTCGTCTAGCGCCAGATGTCTGGTCATGAGACCTTCTGCCCCTTTTTTCCCGCTTATTTTTTTTCCTCTCCTGATCTCACCTTACCTTTAGTACCAACTGTTTGTTACTATCATCATCCGGCTCGATTACTCAACCATCTAAAAAAACGGATGAAGCAAAGTTCTCTACATAAGAAGTAACATCGTGGAGCTTCGCTTCTTATAGGCTGGGGAGTACGTCACTGCGATGTTAGACTTGGTTAGTGGCTACCTAGCTTTGGCCTGGTCGTGCCTTTTTTTGGGGGGGGGGCGGGGAGTTGTCTGGGAACTCTTATTGGATCATCTGCCGCCCGTACGCCGCTTCGCGGTAGCGGATTTAGGTATTACACGCGTACAGTACTAGGCAAGTGAATCACTTGAAGTAATCAAGACGATCATAGTCAGACTAATCATGGCCGTATGATGTGACACCCGTCCGGCGGTCATGTTCATTCAGGTCAAGTGGGTGGCTGAAGGTGATACTCGGCTACCTACACCGGTGCCTTTCAGTCCACCGCCGCTGAGGTCGATGAGGCACCTTTCGGCGTGGGGTACCACTGGAGCCATCCAGAATCGGTCGTGTCAAGGAGTTTCGAGTAAGGTAATTAGCAGAAAGTACTTCGTATGTCACAATCGCATCCTTTGGTCGCAAGTAGGCATGGGGTTTCTCGTGCCTATGCGCCCCTGGGAGGTGAGGAAGCAGGCAGAAAGGAGCACGCTATCTAATTATGGATACTCATACATACGTACCGAATCAGGTCTTGGAAGCTTCAGAGACTTACGCCGTGCTTTGTCGTGTTGCAGTTGGAACCGAATGGAGGGCGGGAACGTAGATCAACTCGAGACACGATCGGCATTGAAGCTAATGCCACAGTTGCTCCGCTAGCATTCTTTCTGCTAGGAACGAAGGTTCACGAAGTGATTGGACAAGTCAATGGATACGAAGTTCGATTCCACTACCTTATGCTGGCCGAGTGCCCCGTTTCAACCAGACAGGACTCGACTACCTCGAAGAGCCAAGGTGATTGAGTGATTCTACTCCGTAGGCGAATATTGATATCATCGAGCAATGCGAGACGTTAAGAAGGTACGTCCACTGCCTACGGCGATCGTGAGTTTTGCAATGTGCAGGAAAGCGAAGACGAGCGCTGGTCAAGCCGGCTATCAATGCTGCACGATTCTCGAGTTGCTGTCATGAACCATGTCGAGAAGGAAGGTTGGGAGCGAGCAAGACGAGAGTATCTTCGACCACCAGGCAAGTTCATGAGGGTTCGTCTAAGAGAAGGACGCAGAACGTCTTAAAAGGTTGTCCATCATCTTAGGATTTCGCGGTGAACTACACTATATGAAGTTGGTCGTCAATATTCTCGGCGAAGAAGTAGGTAATCCTCAAACCTCTTCTTCCCCGAATCAGATGGCTGGTGGAAAGGGGTTTCTCCTGGAAAACCCCCGCTAGCCGGGCTCCCTGCAGAAACTGGCAGCGCCAGGACCACCCTATGAGCCAAGCAATGAACTAGTACGATTAGAGCTAGAATATTAATTGGTATCCTCTTTTGCGGCCCCCCTGTCTTTGACTTCCGCCTGCCGAGCTTTAGTGCGTGAGCTGCCCGTCTCAAAATGCGCACATGAGCAAGCCCAGAGATGCGGGTCTTGGGCCAGAAAGCACGGGATACTTAGGTGAGCCGTGCGTACCATCCCAGCGCACATCGGCATCACCAGCATCATAGTCATCGTCCTCAGTAGACATCCGAAGACATGGTCCCTGGCCGATCTCTGAGCTAGAGATCTCTTATCAGGGTTCCTCTGTACCCTTCGGTCATCCCGAGCGAGCATCAAACAGTTCGACAAGCTTGACAGTCCAGCTTCTGGAAAGCCGTGTCCCCACGCAATGTGACGCACGACTCTCTCAAATGAAGTTAGTCCTACGCTTCTGCACGTTGCCAATCAATACCATGTGCCTTTCATAGGTAAGAAAGCAGCATGCTTGATAGCCGAAACATAGAAACATCATCCCGACACTTCCATTATAAGGACAGAGCCTTATCTCAGTTCTCTATCCTATATTCATGCTTTTGGTATTGGACCTGGCGCCCGCAGGTTGGGAATGCAGCACTGAATGTACCTTATATAAGGCACCCAAACATCAGTACTTGTTCATCTTCGAGTCTTTTAAAAACGAGCCGTCTACCTTGTACACTCTCCCCTTTGCCCTCTGTCCTTGTCCAAATCCCCAGCGGGATTCTTCACTTTAAACACACAGACAATGAGTAGTCCGTCACTGCCTTCTTTGTACGTAGAGGTACCTAGGGCTACTCAATTGAAGTACATGTACCTGGTATGACACATTTGGGTCGTACCCACATGTCGCCGCCGCCCCTCTTTCACACTCACCTGACCTGCCTTGGCCGTGTCCCCTCCCAAGACCCAGGCACCTTGCCTCCCCGTCGCCGCCTCTCCTAGGCTTTTTATGTGCTGTCGTCCATCAGCTCCCCGTCCAAGTCGGCCAACCAGCCATCTCTGTCGGTCATTCCACCCCACCCACTTCCACCTCAACTGTCACTCTCGGTCAGCACCTCTAACTGAACAACCCCTCAGGTACCTGTGATACTCTCTCATCAAAGTACTTACACCTCTTGTAAAGGTCTATCGAAAGACCTACTCCGTAAACCACCATGGAAGGCTATTCGTGCTTGGATTAGAATAGCACAGAACCCGTGCAGGTACCTACATTCTGTTGCCTTGAAGGACCAACCAGCACCAAGGTCTCGTTCTCTTGCGGCAGCAGTACGACCTCGAACCTGGAACATAGCCTGGTTCGGGCCCAAGCAATTAATTAACCTGTCCAGGGTGGGCAAGCAAGCCCAAGCTAATTCCTGTCTTCCCAGGAATTTCCTTTCTCACCTGCCTTTTCAATTTCCTGACATCACTCGCTTTATCCTTCCTTTTCACCTTTTCTTTCTTCTTCTACTCGGTAGATACTCTCTTGTCTTCGTCCCTTTGCGCCCCCCCAGCCGCTCTAGCTCAAGGCAGAGAGCTGCACCCCCCCCCCCCCCCCCCCCCATCCCCCCCACCCCCCCCACACCCACCCCCCCCCCCCCCCCCCCCCCCTTCCTTTACAACGCAGTAGGTACCTTTGGGCTCCGCCGCCGTCTCTAGTCCGCCAGAGACCCTGCTATTTCGCTCTGTAGTGCGCCCCCAAGGGCGCATCCGGGATCGGTTCTGCTTGTTCTGGGCTCTCCTAGGTACGGAGTAATTTGTTGGGTCCTTCGCCCGAATTCCTGGAGAAGTGGGAGGTAATAAGGTACCGGTATAGCACCTTCCCAGCGGTGTCCCGGCGGCCGGACCTGGTTCCATCGTGGTCTTGTTGCTCACCCCACTATTAGTCGCGACCTGCCACTGTGTGGCCCACGAGGCCCTCAAAAGATCTGCCCTTCTTTCCTCTCCACTCACGCTTGCCTATACCTACCTTAAACCCCCCCGGGCGTTGCCCCTCCTCCCCCTCAAGTACCTTACCTTTCCAACAATTCGCCTCCACAATCGTCACATTTCACCCACAAGTTTCCACCACGCACGTCCAGCAGCAAGCAGCTTCATCTTTCACCAAACACGAACCTCAACCCCAGCCCGCACTTCGCCAGTGAAAGGTGCAACCTGCCACGATCGCTTTCGACTCTTCGTCGAGCTGATTCTTCAATCTCACCGACTCCTCTAAGGACCGTCAATATATCCCCGTGATTTTTTCTGGCCCGTGCCCGCCCCGTTGCCCACCACCATCGCCCTCGACTACCGTCGACTTGTGCAACCAGTCCTGGAACCATCAGCCGACTCGTCTCAGCCTCTTCTGTCCCATAACCTGCTGTTTTGTGAGTACCTGCCCCCAAATCTGCATTCCCTTCGTCTTGGGCCACCAATTCGAAACCCAACCACGCTCTTTCCACGTACCCTGCTTCACGCAAGACAATTCCTACCTTTACTGTACCTACCTGCCTAGGTACCCTCCTTCCTGTCCAGGTATCCGTACTTACTCATCTCAATTCCCTACCTTGCCTACCTTGCCTTGCCTTGCCTTGTCTTGCCTTCCCCCCGGGTTCTCCCCAGCGATTTTCTTCCACAGAAAACCATTTGAGGGTGTGACCACAGTCCATCTTGAACCTTCCAGTAAGGGAACAAGGCTCTTTCCTCACCAAAAGCACCAAAAGTCTGCATTGTACCTGCACAAACACGCGTCTTCTACTTTGGAGTTTCCGTTGTCTTCTCAGCCACTATTACTGCCCCTCCGCATTGTTTCTTCTTTAGCACCCGCCATCACTTGATTTTCGTCACCTACCCAAATTCCTCCACCATTTCTCCCGCCTCGTGGTCTTCGTATGCCCCGCTCCTCTCCGATACCACCAAGATCCTCCGAGCTCAACACCTCGCCCAGAACACGTCGCGACCGAGCCGGTATGCTTCGAGGCTGACTCATTTTTTTATTAGCAAATTTGTGGCTCTCACAAACTGTCGACGAAGTCGAAGTCAATCCGAAACTGGTTCTCCTTGCCTGCGAAGCAACCTACCCACCTAACCCACACCTTGCCCACCTACGGTTGGGCTGTTTCCGCAACGTGACTTTGGAGACGCCGACAACGCATTCGAGTTGGAAGAAGACGATTGTGGCCGTCGATCGCCAGCCGCCCTAACGCTTCCAGACATCGCAGTAGTCGCTCAAAACGGCCAACGTCGCCTCTGAATTCAATCCTACGCCATCGGTCCCATAGCGACCTCGGACAGCACACCGACGGATAAAGTAAACGGCTTCCTGATATCATGTCAAGCCGCCCGAACGCGCTGCACAATCTTAGGATGGGGGGTAAGCTGTTTCCCTGACGGACGTGGTGCTGAGTGACTTCTAACCATCCCCGCCTACCTAGAGGTTATCCGTGAGAAGGTACAGGACGGAGTGACAGGGGAGACACGTGACTTGCAGTACACGCAATGCAAGATAGTAGGCAATGGGTCCTTTGGCGTCGTGTTCCAGACCAAGCTGTCGCCATCTGGTGAGGATGCCGCTATCAAGCGTGTCCTGCAGGACAAGCGCTTCAAGGTACAAACTGAGTTTTTCTCGTATGCTTGTCATATAATTTGTGCTGACGCGAAAACCAGAACCGAGAACTGCAAATCATGCGCATTGTCCGCCACCCCAACATCGTGCAGCTGAAGGCCTTCTACTACTCGAACGGCGACCGTGTAAGGCTATCCATGGCCTATTCGAAAAGGAGACGACCTGCTGACGTGGTTAACAGAAAGATGAAGTTTATCTGAATCTCGTTCAGGAATTTGTCCCAGAGACTGTCTACCGTGCCTCCCGATTCTTTAATAAGATGAAGACGACTATGCCCATCCTGGAAGTCAAGCTATACATCTACCAGCTCTTCCGTGCTCTCGCGTACATCCATTCCCAGGGCATTTGCCACCGTGATATCAAACCTCAGAACTTGCTTCTGGACCCTGCGACCGGTGTCCTCAAGCTCTGCGATTTTGGAAGTGCCAAAATCCTAGTTGAGGGGGAGCCGAATGTCTCGTACATCTGCTCCCGCTACTACCGGGCTCCCGAGTTGATATTCGGTGCTACCAACTACACCACCAAAATTGGTAAGACATATCACCGAGACCCTTTCAAACGGTTTTCAGCCATACTGAAAGTTGGTTCCTGTCTAACGTGGAACAGACGTCTGGTCGACCGGTTGTGTCATGGCGGAACTGATGCTCGGCCAACCACTCTTCCCCGGTGAATCAGGTATCGACCAGTTGGTTGAGATTATCAAGGTTTTGGGCACGCCGACCCGTGAGCAGATTCGCACAATGAACCCGAACTACATGGAGCACAAGTTCCCGCAAATCAAACCGCACCCTTTCTCCAAGGTTTTCCGCAAGGCTGACGCCAACGCTATCGACTTGATCGCCCGGCTTCTTGAATATACTCCTACGGAGCGACAAGGCGCCATCGATGCCATGGTTCACCCCTTTTTCGACGAGCTGAGGGATCCAAGCACCAAGCTTCCAGACTCGCGGCATCAAACTGGCCAAATGCGTGATTTGCCCCCGCTCTTCGATTTCACTCGGCATGGTGAGTTGCAGCATGACTGACAAGCCTAAGCGCTGGAGGCGCTCATCATTGGAGGTAACTAACTCTTCCGTTTTAGAGCTCTCGATTCGCCCGGAACTGAACCAGAAGCTGGTGCCCCCTCACATGCGACCGGTCCTTGCTTCAAACGGACTCGATATCGACAACTTGACACCATTGTCGAGGCAAGAAATGATGGCGAAATTGGATTGAGGCGGGGATACGACTCCTGCCTGAGACACTGCAATACCCCCAGCTTCCTTGGCTACAAACACAGGAGGACCTTCTGCCGACGCGTGGCTTGGCCGTGTTCATGTACGGCAGCAGAGAAGCAACGACTCTCTCGTCACGAGGCAGCCGATGATTAGATATGATGGAATGACCTCGGGAGGATGCTGCGTCGAGATGCTTGGCTTGAGAAGAAAGGGCAAGGAACAAGTCGGCCAAGGGGATTGCGAAAACTGTATAGCGATGGAGTGGGTGGGGAAGCGACGGCGCGTGAACCCGTCGCTTAAGACGTTTGCCGGTCCGGCCTCCCTGGGCAAACATTCCGCTGCGCCATGGGTGGACGATGTGATGCATATCAGAGGGTACCAAAGTTTAGACCACATGTGGATGCATGGACAAGATGGCTGGGCTGGTGCTTGTTGTTCTTCTCGTGCTCTAGGAAGAAAAAAGAAAAAAAAGGGGGGGGGGGGGGGGCGTGATCGATTGGCGACTAGCCTGGTCCGGAAGAGGGAGTATACTTCTCTGCAGCTAATTCTCAATGACTTCGGGCGTCCTGACGGCATTTCGCAGTATACCGCAGTGGGTTTTGTATGGGCATCAGTTTTGGGCCGTCAGATTCTATTTGTTTGTTTGTTTTCCCCAGGAAACAGTAAGGCCGGGGAGATGTCACGAAACAAGACTAGAAGTATGGACCAACGAATGGTCCTTTGTCACGACAAGACGGTCTGGCAAGGCAATTGTCAAGAGGCGGGAATTTCTGCCATCTTAACTATCATAAAGGGACCAGAGCCTTTATGGCTCGTGATACTGCCCTTGGTGGTAATAAGTAGTATTAATTGCGTACATATGTGCTGTACACGTGTAGCTATGAGATGGTGGATTTGCTCCCGACCCCCCCCCTTCGCGAGCGGTGGGCACAGATCAAAAACCACACCTTAGATACGATGCCTGATATGACATATACGGAGTATGCAGGTGTGATAAATCTTGATTCTAGGATGAGAGGACTGTCCTGCCTAGCACCACACAGATTATGCAAACAACTCTCTTTACCTTCAGGGCCCAAGACGTCTCTTTCTTTCTGGCCGTCGTCACCGTCACCGAATGCCGGCGTCTTGTGGGTCTTGCTTATAATGCCTTGAGGTTCAAGGTGCGTCGTACCTAGGTATGTATCTATCTCGTACCTTCGGTAATCATGCAGCAGGTAGGTACTTCTGTAAGGTACCTTAGGCAGTCACGGAACGCTTACCTAAGCTCGACCATGCTTGCAACGCGCCAGCTGCAAGTCTCGCTCAAGAACGTTTGCAGATACGTACTTTCAGAAGCTCGAGCTCTTCGCTGTGACCTGGACTGGTTTGCCTTACCCTCAATTAACCCCCATCACCCATCCATTACGCCCTTTTTATATTTCAAGCCTTTTAGTTCAAGCCAATTGAGTACGCAAGCGGCGTGGGGACTGCGAATCGCTAGCATGGCGGACTACGATCGGAGACGTTCGGGTGGTCACCACAACAGAAAGCGAAGGTATCGAGGTAAGAGAGAGCAATAAAGATGAACCAACGGGATGCTGCGACAAGGAACTGGTTTCCAAGCTTACCTTGACCTTTGTATAGATGACGATGAGAATGATTACCGGCAGCAACGCCGCCGGTACGACCAACCGCCTCCCCTCCCGGTCCGGATCCGAAAGCAACTTCTGTCGCTGGCCGAGTCGCCTCTCCGCCGGTGGCACGACGAGGTGAATTCGATTGCGCACCTTGTCGCGGACAATGCGGAGGACACGGAGGTGCGCGAGGGCTTCGTCAACTTGGTGCTGCAGCTCGTGCTGGAGCAGCCGCTCAAAACGCCGTTCGTGGCGGCCGTCGTTCTCGTCGTCAACACGCTGCAGCCCGACATTGTGCGCGAGATCCTTGCGAAGACCAGCGCCACCGCCGAAAACAAGATCAAGGACGGCGAATGGAGGGATGTGAAGCTGTGCCTGAAGCTTCTGGCGTGTTTGCAGAGCTGCCTGGGCGGAGATGGCGTGTTTCCCGTCCTCGACGAACTGTTTAACCGAGCTGGCGACCTGCAGACTGCGAGTTCTGACGACGTCAGTTAAATTTTTTTTTTTCCTTTTAACTTCCGTCTATTTGACTTCCTCGACATGAAGCCTCGTAAGTCATGGGCAGAAAGCGGTATGGCTAATGATCAGCACAGACTATCGGCACCGAACTCGTCAAGATTATCCTCTTTACCATTCCTTACATCATGGCTGGGGGCCCTGGACAACAATGGCAGGAGAGGGCAGCAGATCTAATGGACAAAACGGACATCATTGCCTCGGAACCTCACGCTTTGCAGGCTTTGATCGATCCATATCTGCCCGAGAGCGAAGGACAGCCCACCGAATCCTCGAGCATGATTTGCCTGTTGCAGAAGCAGTTGCAACATGAGGCGAGTAATAACTGGGAGTTGGCATGCCTACCGCGCCCGTGGAGACTGCCTCTGGAAGAGATAGAGGCGCAGGATAAGCTCGACAATGCGACGAAACATGACCTGCCGACTATTTCCGTCCCCGAGAGGGTCATCCCGGGGCCTCGACCACTGTTTCCCGAAGTCTACTTTTCCGTATATGCAGGCCAAGACATCCCGTCGGTTCCGCCCGTTACGGATGTTGCGTCCTCTCTGATCCGGGATGCACTGGTGGACACGATTAACATCCTCGACTTCAACCGCCACGCCACCGCCCGTTTCTTGATCGATGTGGATTGTTATTTCGCGGATGGCACGTTTATTAAGCGTGCGACGCCATTTGACCGTCTCCGAGACATTGAAAGCGGCCGGTCTACCTGGAAGCCCGAAGATGTTGCCGTCGACGCCGTCTTTTCGCAGTTGCATCAGCTGCCGGCGCCCGAGCATAAGCTTGTCTACTATCACAGCGTTCTGACCGAGGCCTGTAAGCAGGCGCCCGCCGCCATTGCGCCGAGCTTAGGCAGAGCTATAAGGTTTCTATACCGCAATTCGAGCCGGATGGATCTGGAGTTGAGCCAGAGGTTCATGGATTGGTTTGCGCACCACTTGAGCAACTTCGGCTTCACCTGGAAGTGGACAGAGTGGGTGGATGATGTGTCTTTCCCGGATATCCACCCGCACAAGGCCTTCATTCTTGGTGCTCTAGACAAGGAGATTCGGCTGAGCTTTGCCCAGCGCATCAAGAACACACTACCCGAGGAATACCAGGTTCTTATTGGACCCGAGAAGGAGAATGATGTACCTGACTACAAGTTCTCGGACGACTGTGAGTAGTCCCCAGCGCACTGTTCCCAGGGAGCAGTTCTTCTTGATGGTCTCAGGTTCTAATCTAACTGTCTTTTCAGCGGTGCCTTTTGCAGCCGAGGGTCGGGAAATGGCGACGCTGCTGAAGCGGAAGGCTCCAGATGAGGAGTTCCAGCCTATCGTTGACCACATTCAAGCAGCTGCTGGTGAGCACGGCTTGGATCCCTTTATAGCGAGCACCGACGTGTTCGTCACGGCGGTCTGCTGGGTCGGCTCCAAGTCGCTCAGCCACGTTCTAGCGTGCATCGAGCGTGTCAAGGACCGACTACTCGACGTCGGAGCTGCTTCGGAGGGTGCCCGGGCCCAGATCATTACGGCCGTCATGTCGTATTGGCAAGCGCACCCAGGTGTAGCTCTTTCCATTATCGAGAAGTTGCTCAACTACTCGATTCTCACGCCATCCTCTGTCGTCGAGTGGGCGCTCGGGGCCGGATCCAAGGCCGAAGCTGACGGCGACCGCGCCGGAGATGGCTTAGCAAAGGCGCACGTCTACGAGTTAGTTCACAACACGGTGAACAAGGTGACGGGGCGGGTCAGGTTGCTCCTGGCGCCAGGTGCTGAGGCAGACGAGGAGACGAAGACGCGCGATGTCCAGGCGATGAAGGATCTCTTCAAAGCCATTGAGGATGCGGTCGTGGGCTGGGCTTCGGGCAGCAAAGACCAGATGCTAAGGGACACGGAAGGGGATGAATCGAGAGACCAGCTCCTGCGACAGTGGGGCCAGCGCTGGCTCCGCGTTTTCCGTCGCAAGTCGGCCATCGAGGAAGCCCATCTTTTGGAGGTGCAAAACAACAATGCGCCAGCAGAGGGAGATGACGGGGCCTAGAAGTCAGCCATTTAACCAGCTGCGGACTGGCATTGGTAAATCGGAAAAAAAGGGGGGAAGGGATATTTGCGATCTGTACGAGTAACTGGGGCGGGAGTTCTTTTCAAGTCGGCTTCCTCTGAAACTAGCTCACAGCCTTCATCCATCTCAAGAGAGCTCATCTGAGGTTGGGTAGCTGAAAAAGCGGCGGTAAGGCGCATCACATTCACCGCATTACTCTTAAGGAGATGGCTTGCGGGAGAAGCATGGGAGTAGAAGACAGACTACAAGATAGTAATAAAATATCAAGGACTCAAGTCACCAGTCTTTCGGATTATGAGTGTAGGAATTACGTGATATAAGGAGGAAAGCATGGAACGCGTCTCTTGATACTGGAGACTAAGTGATAAAGGTCTTATTTTGCAAGCAGACTCCTACGGAGTACCGTGCGTCTCACTTTGATCGTAGGTATTTCGTAACATGTGGCGGTGGAATGAGGGGCGAACGCCTGGATTTTCTTCAGCCTTGGACCCCACTTATGCTTTGTAGTTGGATAAAGAATTGGCGACCTGTTATTGGACGGGAAACTCCTAGCACATCTGCAAGTAGCTGCGAGGCTGACGAACTTTTTCTCAAAAATTGGCTATCGTTAAAAAAAAAGAAAAAGAGCGGAAAGATACGAAGCTTCACGGGCGACATTTACACACCAAGTATCACACCGAACAACTACATACCTGCCAACCCTCTCTTCGTCTCTCTTCGTCTTGCGTTCGGGTTTCGGTGAACCATTCATCTCTCACGATGGAGTCTTCAGTGGCTCAGGTGAAGGTCAACTTCACCACGACCCACGAAGACCTACAGCTGCCAGAAACCAAAAGACAGCTCCTAGTGCCGGCCGGTATGCTTCCACTCAGTTCATCCTCTTAGTCACGAAATTATTTCTCCCAGCGAGCTCTATCTAACTGAGGGGTTACCTAGACATCAAACGCTATGGACTCTCCCGCATTCTCAACTCCGAGTCCATGCTCAATACCGCCTCGCCCATTCCCCTCGATTTTCTCGTCAATGGCACATTCTTGAGGACGACACTCGAAGAGTATCTGAAGACCGAAGGCTTATCTTCCGAAACAACGATCACTCTCCAATACGTCCGCTCCCTCCTTCCCCCCACTTACGAAACCTCCTTCGAGCACGACGACTGGGTGGCATCCGTCGATGTCCTGTCGGCCACATCACCTGCGGGGCGTTGGTCAGGGAATGAGTTCGTACAAGACCGGGACAGGATTCTTTCTGCAAGCCACGACGGGCTCGTGAGGATATGGGATCGGTCGGGTGCTGCCTTGGCGACGTCGGCGCCAGCTCGCGGTGGAGGCCACTCCAAACTCCTAACGGCGGCGAGGTTCCTGGGCGCTACCCAGGTCGCCTCCGCAGGCATGGACCAGAAAGTGGTGGTGTGGAAGTACACCGAGACACCGGACGGGCTCTCCGGCGAACTGAAGCCCACTCTCGAGCTCTACGGCCACAAGAAGATGATCAACAGCCTCAACGTCCACGGCCCTTCCAAGCGCATGCTCACCGCGTCCTCCGACGGCCGCGTCGGCGTCTGGCTCGCATCCAAGAAGGCTGCCGACGCCGACCCGGATGACATCCCATCCACACACACCGCCAAGCGCGTCCGTGTAGCCTCGTCCGTGACCGTGCCGCAGAAGGCCGCCCAGGTCATGATCCCCGCCCACGAAGACCACGTCGCCACCGACGCCGTCTTCCACCCTTCGGACCCCACCGTCGCCTACTCCGCCTCCACCGACCACACCGTCCGCACCCTCGACCTGACCACCGGACGCGTCGTCTCCACCCTCTCCACCCTGCACCCGCTCCTCGCCCTCGCCCCCCTGCCCCGGAGCGCCCACGCGCTCGTCGCTGCCGCCTCTGCCGCCCGGCACGTGACCCTCCTCGACCCCCGCGCCCAGGCGACCCAGACCTCCGTCCTCGTCCTCCGCGGCCACACCAACATGGTCTCGTGCGTCGCCGCCGGGCCGGACAACGACTACAGCCTCGTTTCCGGCTCGCACGACGGCACCTGCAAGGTGTGGGATCTTCGGAGCGTGCGTCCCGCCCACAGGGACGAGGGACCCGGCGGGAGCGTGTGCGAGCCCGTCTACACCGTGGCGCGGGAGTCGCTGGGCGGGAAGAAGGTCCCTGCTGGTGGGGAGGGCGTCAAGGTCCTCGGTGTCGCGTGGGATCAGACTTGTGGGATTGTCAGTGGTGGAGAGGATAAGAAGGTGCAGATCAACAGGGGTAGGGATCTATTTGCTTCGTAGGCGGCAGGAAAGGAAGAAAAGTTTAAAAACGAAAAAGAGGTTCTGAGCTTGGATAAAATATCATGATACCCAGCACATTCTATTCGTCTTCATGGGTGTAACTTTATATCTTTGTTCTTGTCGTTGTTACTCTGTTCACAGCATTGGGTACCGTAGATGCTAAGACGTATTACAACTTCAAGTATACGTGGGATATCTCCGACGGGGCTTAGGGATGTTTGATTTTACCTAGGCTTACGATAATACGGATCCAGAGACATAAAAAAACAGAACAACGGAAAAAAAAGGGACCGACTGGCAAAATAGCAGCACATGGTTACGAGATTCGAACCAACAAACAATTCCCAATGTTATATGTGAGTAAATGCCACTAAATATCTAGGCTTTAACCATTACACCAGTTTGCCCTTTAGATTGAATGGTAAAGAACTTGAATTCTATATAAAGTGTAGGTGCGAATTCTAGATAGCTAAAGGTGGACGTGTATCGAAATACGAGGAATGAGGCTTCATGATGGACGCCGTGGCTTCTCGGTGAATATTCGGTCGGTAGCTCGGTGAGTCGGTAAGACAATATACGGGTGGGGTCGATTAGTAAGGGGATACCATCACTTCATTGGAAACGCCTGCGAGTTGCTCTTCCCTTCAAGATACAAGGATTTGTAAAAGGTGGCTCAAAACTTCCCTTATTTACCTACCTATAAAAAAAAAGACTAACCCGAGATTCGTCACGGTACATACACGCTCATATCCCCCATCAAGTCTGCCAAGTATACTCGCTCAACGCCAACATCTTCTCGCCCATCTGGCGCTTAGCCGCAGCAGCGATACCCCTCTCGGGATTCGCCAGCTGTTCGCTAAAGCACAGCTCCATGAGCGCCTCGAGCTCCTCGTACGAGAACCGCATGCTCTTGGCCTCCTCGTCCCCCTCGACGTCGTCGCCCGCCTCCTTGTCCGCCCTGGCCTTCTCGACCACGCCGCCCGGCCCCTTCTCGAACAGCGCGTAATACTCGGCCGAGTGGCGCAGGTCGACGCCTTCCTCGACGTTCTTGAGGTTCTGCTGCAGGACCAGGATGTTGAGCTGCATGCGCCCGCAGCCGTTGTGGTTCATGGGCTTGGCGAGGAGCGCCTTGCGGACGAGGTAGGTGTCAATGAGGCGGCCTAGACCGGTGCGGATGAAGGCCGACTCCCGCGGGCGGAGGAAGTGCCCGACCGTCTCATCGAAGGTGATGAGGTCGCCGTTCAGCGTCAGGATGCCCGGGTCGGGCTCGGTGACTTCCTGGTCGAGGACGTATGGCGCCGATGTCTCGGGCGTAAGTGTGCGGTGTAGGGCGTAGATGATTTGGCAGCGAATCTCCAGGTGAAGGGTGAGGAGAGCTTTCGTAGCGAGTTCCTCGTAGGACGAGACAATGCCATCGAAGGCTCTGTCGATTTTTGTGTTGTTAGCAAGCCCCCCCACCCAAGAGACGAGGAAATGAAATAAGATACAGATGTTAGGGGGAAACATCAGAGGAGGGTAGTGAAAACGTACTGTGCTGTCTCCGGAGTCATGGGGAGGTGTACAGGGCCCTCGTCGCTCGAAGTCTTGGTCGAATCATTCATCAAGGTCCATCGCTTGCTAGATTGTCGAGGTAGAGTCGGCCTAGCGTTCTCGACATCATTTTGTGTGATGTATCGGAGTGCAGCAGTCTTGACGGAGAGCCACTTCATGCTGGTGTACAACATGCAGAGCGATGGCATGACGTCCTTGTCTTGAACCACGTCGCTGAGCTCGAGGGACTTCTCGTCGGCACGGGAGATGAGGAGGTCAATCTCCTTTTCCAGTTGAACGGCGTCAGGTTCCTCAGACGACCAGAGTGCCACGGCTGTTTCGGTAATGGCGCTCGGCTCGAGAGCCAACGTCGCCGACAGTCTTAGAGTCTGGGAGTCGGTCGCTTCGTCCTGGCCTTTGGTCACGAGAGATTTGTACCAACCGAAGCATTTGTCGTAGTACCTCATCATCTGCGTGATGATGAGAGAACTCAGGGCCTGGTCGGGAGGGATGGTGGCGAGCATCTTGCAGAAGGCCGTGACGACCGTGAAGAAGGCCGTTGTGCCTTTGAAGACAGGCTTCTTCGCCACCCGAGCCCACTCTTGATCTTGCAGGAAGGAATCGGCTTCGCCGAAAATGGTATCGCTGAGTTTGTCGAGGGTCTCATCGAGCTGAGGGTGGAAGACGTTGACGAGAAAGTTATCCAGGAACGTCGTCAGCGTGCTGGTGGCCAGGTCAGAACCTGGCGGGACGATCGTCCGAAGTCGCTGGAGGAAGACCAGCGTCGGCGGGAGCAGAAGGCTCATGTTGAAGACGCTCGGTTCGACGAGCGACTTGTGGCTCTCGGAGCCCTGTTTCGTCTCGTAACTGGCAGCAGCGCCCTTTCTTGAGCCGACAGGGTCTAATATCGGCCGGCTGCCTGCTCTCTTGTCAGAAGCCGCCCCCTTCCGATCGTCCGTTAAGCCGGGCACGGCCGCGCGTAGTATGCTCTCGAGGGCATCGTATTCCGCGACGATGTCTGGGGCTTTGGGGTCCGTTTCCGCAAACTTGAATAAATGTTCGCGGGCGGCATCCTTCTTGCCCACTAGGCTCGCGCCTGTCTTGGGCGAGGAACTGAAATGATAGAGGTCGGCATCCGTCGTGACGTAGTTATGCAACAGAGACCGGATCTCGTTCTGATACAGGTTCCAGAGCTCCTTAAAGCTACCAAGTAACGCACTGTTGTTCCCCGCCCCCTCGCGGCGAATAAGAGCTTTGATCGTCTCGTGGAAAACGCGATGGGCTTCGGCGATGGCCTCAAATTTGCCATAGAGCGTCCAAAGAAGGTCGTATATAACGTCTGCCCTCATTTGCGTTTCCCGGCTACCATAGATATACAGGCCCTCCGAGTTTGTCGAACCACCCCTGAGCGAGCTGGGGTGTCGTTGGTCGACCTCATTTATGGTGTAGTTGACAGTCCCAAAGAGCTCCACCGGCATCCTCTGCTTGAGTATGTCGACGGCGGCTTCGAGGCGTCCGAGCTTGTTCAACGCCTCTACGAGGAGACCAATGTAGGAAAACGTATCAGCTTCCGGGTTCTTAGCAGGGTCCTCCGTCGCGGCGCGTTCAAAGTCGATATTCTCGACGCATTCATGAAAGGGTACGATATTGGACGTCGAGTCGGCATACGACCCCGTGGAGGCGCCCTGGTCCTTCGCCAAGCCCTGCCACCTCTCCTGGCAGTACGGCGATTTCAAATACAAGTGCTCGTGGAGTTCCTCCACAAGGATGTCCATCAACGCGGTGTCTTGGTTGGCTAGGTAGCTCCTCAGGTCGCTCAGCGCACCGATTTCGTCGAGCTCCGGCTTGCGCAACTTGCGCAGGGCGTTCTGGAGGACATCGACGGCAGAGACGAATCTCTTCTCGGAAATGTGGGCTTCCAGCTGGTCCGGGACCACACGCAGCTCTTGTAGCTCGTTTAGCGTGTTCAGGAGCCCTTCGTAGGCCTGGGAGGTGGCCGACAGCTTCTTGAGATCCGGGTCGGTGGTGCAGAGGCTGGTTTTGGCGGCGGCGAGGGACTCCTTGAGGGCGCGGACCCTCTTCTGGGAGGCCTGTATGCTGCCCTGGATTTTGTGGAAGGTGCCGATGGAGCTGTTGAAGCCCTGGTGGTGTTCGTGGACGATCCCCTTGAGGGATTCCTGGAGGTATTCATAGGTCTCCTGGAACTTGTCGTATTCGTGGGCGCGGCCGACGGAGCTGCTGTCGAGCAGCTGGAGGGCGAGTTGGACGGGGATGCAGTCGGTCTCGCACATGGAGGGCCATTCCTGCTTGATGTGCTCTAGGACCTGGGCAATCTGCCGCTCGGCGTTTGTGGTCTCGACCGGCGGGGCGCGCTCTCTTTGGGCGGGAATGGGAGGCTCGTCGCGAAGCAGACCTGGGGCTGGGGATGATCGCGAACCTATGGAGGGGACTGGCGGGCCGTACCTCGCATCGCCACCATAGTCGTCGCCGTATGGGTCGTAGTCATCTTGTGATTGCTTTGGAGGGGCTACAAAGTTGCCGTAGCCGTTGCCGTAGCCGTTGCCATTGCGGTACGAATTACCGTACCTGTTGGACGTGGACATGGCGATCGACGGCGCATCTGGGGGAGTGGCTAGGATAGACCAAGAACAGTCGGTAGCTGTCGCATTATCATTATCGAAGGGAGGGGGGAGGATGGCTGGTCGGATGCTTCGTCCTCGGAAGTCGGCGGCTAGTTTGCTGGATTTATGGATCAAGATGGTCTCTCGAGAAGCTGGGTCCCGTGTATTCGCTTTGATGTGTAGGTAGGTGAAGGTAGAAAAGAAGAAGCTCTAGATTTCGTGTCGCCCACTTCCAAGTTCACCTTCGGATTGCTTCAGGTACGACGGAAGGGGAGTTCTTGGGTAACTGTGGCTGGGTGCATATGTGGCGTCTGGGGTGCTGATTCCAGTACCATTACATGCCCGTTCATCCCAGCGCGCTGGCGGATCCGTACATGTACAGTACACGCTGCCTACATCTATTTCTACGGCGCTTCTTAGACAATCTTACAGCGGTCTATCAGTTGCCGAGCCGCTATTAGCCGCTAAATATTTACACAGGGTTGGCACGCACACCCTCAGTTACAGTTACATGACGTTTCTCTCGGTAGCGGTACACTGTACTACCTTCCACGTTAAGCTCCAGTGTGCAACTTCCAGATTGGAACGCTGGGTTGGGATAATTCGTCCCACCATGGCCGTCAATCAACCGTCACATCTTCTTCGTGCAAACTTGAAAATTAGGGAAGATATTGATACGTAGCTGGTTCAAAGCGACTCATCGTAGCCTCCAGCCATGGCAGATCAATTCCCCATCCATCCCATCGGCCGCTTCTACGGGGCCAGTCAACCTGTCAAAAGACCCAAGGTAACTTACAATCTCATCTCCCCAGTCCCATCGTCGCTATGGTATTAGAAGTCAGCGAACTGAAAGGCATCCTAGGAGTTTGCCTGCTTCTCATACGATGACAACCACGAGTTCCACTTGGGCGACTCATCAATGAGATGGTATTACAATCCTCCTATCGGGGCAGACCTCTCCCAAGGCTATGATCAGTTCATCAAGCATGACGACTCCAAAGATGAACACCTCGTCAGCCTGCTCAAGACCATCAAGGCCCATGAGGAGGAAACCGGCAAGAAGATTGACGCCCATATCATTACATGGCGAGGCATGATGACCAAAGTGAGCATGGCTTCATATGCGGATGACTATCCGTAGTGAGAGCCAGCTGGAACTGACCGCACCCTTATCCACAGATCATGAGTTGTCCGTTTGATGACCGGGATGGGTGAGTTTATTCAGATTGATATGCGAAGTCCACCTACGGAACGAGGCGAAGAGAAGAAAACGAGGCTAATAGATGCCTCTTCCTCCCAGATTTGAGATGAATGCCACCCTCTATCAAGTGCGCTGATCCAACATTCGCCCCCCCTTAATTGCTATTCACGACACGAGCTGACGATGCTTCCCAAGGATGCCATGTACGGGGAGACAGTTTTCTTCAGTCTTGCATGCATTCTGTGTATAATTGAACTAGCTGACCCATTTTGGACGTTGCCTTAGATACATAGAAGAAAACCACGAGTGCAAGGAGATGACGAGAAGACAGCAGAATGCTCAGCAGAGGAGAGGGCCCTTCCCCGCTGAAGTCATGCAGTTCTGGGGTCAGTTGGCACACAGTCTTGGTGTGGAATAAACCGAGCTTCGCTAAATCCGAAAGCCAGGTTACAAGTTCGAGACGCTCGCGACCCTGCCAGCACCGTGGGGTGAAACTCCACGCGAGGACATAGAGAACCGAGTCAACGAGGTGGTCAACAACAACGCCCAGTACTGCTCCGTTGTCCGGACAGGCATAGGCAACAGCGTTATCTGCATCGGGGGCGAAGTCGACGCCAGTGAGCACCATTGTCCTTTACCTCTCCGTTTCCTCCACGACTCCTCTGCAACTGACCGACTGACCTTTTTTCCCCCGTCTGCCCTTGCATTTCAGTATGGGACTCAAAGCCGCCACAACCGGGCGCCCCCATCAACTGGGTCGAGCTCAAGACGAGCGCCGAGATCCGTCACGAGCGCGACTCGGACAACTTCAACCGCAAGCTGCTCAAGTTCTGGATCCAGTCCTTCCTCCTTGGCGTGCCGCGTATCATTGTCGGCTTTCGCAGCCAGCAAGGCATCCTCACCCGTGTGCAGGAGTACGAGACGGCTACTATCCCTGACCTGGTGGCTCGGACTCCGAAACCCGCCTGGAACGGGGATATGTGCGTCAATTTTGCTGCCGAGTTTCTAACATGTACGTGAAACTTCCTGTTTCTTCAGTCCTCTCGTTCCTTGAAGATGAATTCCTCTTTGCGACTGCGACTGCCATGATATACACTGATACTAACCTGTTCACTTTGCTGAAGGGCTACGGCAAACCATCAATGACGATGGAGTCTGGAGGATACGCAGGCGACCGGCATCCCCAGTGATCGAGGTATTTAGGATGGAGGAGGCCGGACATGGCGATATCTTGACGGATGAGTTCATCAATTGGCGGATTAAGCTTTCTCTGGGACCTCCTCCCCCTCTGGACCCGTAATGATACCCTCGTTGTATTGAATAGAACAGCGTGGGTAGAGATATACGAACATCTCCCAGATATCTCCCACCAAGATCACTATTGTAAGGATAGGTCTAACCGTGCCTGTATTATCACCCAGTCTGGAACTGAGGCAACAGGGAAAAGGCGAAGGGACTGAACACTTCGTGGGATTCTATCTATGAAACTACCTAAGATAATGGATGCTATTATGCCAGAGTGCTATGAACAATGCGAGCTACCTTCATTATGGTCGAGGTAGCAAGTGAAGACTATGAAAACCACCCAGATGCCCTGAACGCTAAACGCCAACTCCAAATCAACACGGCACATGCAAGGGGACGGAAACGGAAAAAAAGAAAAGAATTTCACCAGAGCCTCCACCCCCAGAACCAAAATAGAAAGTCGCCTGCCCCTTAACTCATTAGCTCCAGAGCGCCTCCACGTCCCTGAGGCTCCCCGGAAACGCAATCCCCCAAAACAAGAAAAGGTAGGCGACCTCGGACATTCCATGACGAAGAGTACGAATCCCCAAGCGATCCTTTACGCTCTCCCAAACATGCTTTTTTGTTTTGCAAAAGACGAGATGTGGTCTTACACAACAACATAGCAGAAACGCCTCCAGCCGACGGCGCTGCTCATACAGCAGGCCATCGTAGCCGAAGACCATCCACCCAGCGATGGTACAATACGTCCGACAACTGCTTGCAGTGCTCCATCCCGGGACCTCCCTCGCGTCCCGGGAACTTGGCCTCGAGCGCCATCTTCTCCGGATCTTTCCCCGCCGCCGTCGCCGAATCGGGCGTCCCGAGGTCGGCGTTGCGCTTCTTGTGGTTCCTCAGGTGGGGGTTGTTGGGCGCCAGGACGAGCTTGGTAGGGCTGCCCGAGGACGGCGTCACGGCACGGTTGATGATCACGGTGCCCTGCGGCGTTCCGTCCGAGGGCGGCAGCTTGACGGACTGCTGGGGCATAAAGGCGTTGCTCAACTTCGCGTCCTGGGACACGGCCGTCATCAGGTTCCGGAGCAGGTGGTAGGCCCCTTCAGGATCGACGGCGTCCAGGCTGGAGAAAGCATCGGCAAGCTTGGCCAGAGCCTCTCGTTTTGGCATGGCGGAAGTCTGGGCGTGTAGTTCGGAGAGGGTCGGATCGAGGGCTTTGTTGAAGAGGCGTCGTCCCAGCAGGGCTTCCTTGCTGGTCGGCTCTGCCGGAGCCGCAATGCTGGGAGGGCGGTTCTCGTTGTTCGGGGCTTTGTCGCCGGTGTCGCCGTAGCCGATCTGTCCGGAGGTGGAGCTGTCGGACGGCACCCGGCGGAAGAGCCGCATGGTTGACCCGGAGTTGCCGTAGGACATGTCTGGTTGTAGCGGGCGTCGTGCCACTGTCGGGCGGGGCGATCCGTTTGCCTGGGCCTGCGTGATGGATGGCTGTCGGCGACTTGTTGTTCGGCGCATAGTCCGTGGCGCCGGAGAGGCTGATCCTAATGGCGCGTCCTTGAGTTCCAGCTTGCGCAGCGCCTCCTCGGTCGAAAAGATCGACGAAGGCTTGCGAGATCTGACCGTTGGTCTCTTGGGAACGACCGACTTGACCGTGTCGAACACCCATTCGTCGGCCTCGTCCTTCGGCGAGATGGTATGGAGAGTCTCTTGGTAGAATACGGGATGAGATTTGCGCTCCTGGTTGGCATGCCACATCTGTTTGCGCTGGATAAGTTCCTGAAGGGCTTCCACCTTGCCGGCGGACCGGATGAAGCGATGCTTCAGGAGGTCCTTGGCAGACGGCCGACGTTCTGTGTCCTTGACAAGGCACTGTGCAACAAAGTCCTTGAAGTCCCTGCTGAAGTTGCCCTCTAGCCGGGGAGGAGAATTCTTAGGGATGTGGAAGAGAACTTTCATGGGGTGGATATGGGCCAGAGGAGGCTCGCCGTTGGCTAGCTCCATGGCGGTGATGCCCAGGGACCATATGTCCGCCTTGAACCCATAGCCATCTTGTTGGATAACCTCGGGTGCCATCCAGAAAGGGGTTCCCACAAATGTATTGCGTTGAGACTTGATGTTGGTCAACTGAGCGGCAACGCCGAAGTCAGCCAGCTTGACTTTCCCCGTCTCGGACAATAGGACGTTGGCGGCTTTGATGTCCCGGTGAATCTTCCCCTCCGAATGCAAGTACTCGAGTCCTCGGAGAAGCTCTCGGCAGATGACGGCGATGTGGGTTTCGGGGAAGTTATCGGGTTTTAGCTGGGTGACTGTCAGCTCTTACACTCAAATTGACTATGGCTCAGTTGTAAGCGCAACCTACCAGGTCTAGACAAGAACCTCCACCCAGGTATTCCATGACAATCCATAGCTTGTGTCCTCTGAGAAAACTGCCCTTGTATTGTGTGACGAAGGAGCTGGCGCAGGTGCTGAGGACAGCAATTTCTCCTTGAATCTCTTGGATATCGTCTTCGCTGGATTCGAGGTCGATCTAAGCACCGCCGCGTGAGCTTTAACCATGGATCTCGCGACGGAGGGCCATTTCGGGTCAAAGTAGTCTGCCACTTGAAATGACAGGGGAACTTCGCCTTCCTGGACGGAGCAGAGATGGTAACAACTTACATGTTTGATAGCGACAATCTCGCCAGTGGCCTTCTCAATTCCCTTGTACACAACCCCAAAACTCCCACCTGAAGATCAGAAAGACAGGTAAGTCAGTGGACCAAAAGATGGCGCCAGCATGCGAGCTCGAGCAGGAAACTTACGGCCCAGCTCCTCCAAGACCTGGTAATGTTCAGCGAGACCCTCGTCAGCCATGGTGGTAGAACTTGGAGTCTCTCGATATAATGCGCGTAAAGATAACCAAGCCAAATCCTGGCCTGCCGATGGGGAGCAGGAGCTGAGGAATGCGCGTCTCCAAAAACCAAGCTGGATATGGTCTAGACGTCTGGACCGCCTGGAGGCGAGAGGTGGAAACTGATTCGTGCTCGATGATGAAATACCCAGGAAAGAGGGAAAGAAGGCGAGTTTGTCGAGGATGAACGGCGAATATTTGCTTCGAACCCAGATGAACGGACTGCAGTTGATTAGAACGAAGAAGAATCCCCCAGGCTTGGATGTTTGGTTGTCTGGGACAGCAAACCCAGCACAGACGACAACGGTACTCGTCCGTTACTGAACCAGGGGGGCTCCGCCAGGCAACAGAAGCTACTGTTGGGCTATTGCGGATCGGTTCGCTTGGTTTGAGATGATACGAAAATGCTAGGGGAGAAGGGGATTAGAAGAGCAGGGGGACAAAAGCTCGGACCCTTTGTTTACATTTTTCCGTTTTGGTATAGCTTCGGTCGAGGGGCAACCCGAGCTCTACGAACTACCTATGTACAGTACCTCTTCGTGTCCATCGTTAAGTGAGAAACGAAGGCAAGACAGCAGCTCGTGGATATGGAGAAGTGAAGCAAAAGAAAATAAAGGCAGCTCGAGACATGACAGTGTAAGTGCAATTGATTTTTTTTTCCTTTTTCTTTTATTGGAAGAGTGGGTTGGTTGGTCGGCGCCATCAGGTTGCGGTATATGCAGGGAGGGACAAGTGCCTTATATTCGTACCTTATTACCTAGGTAGTTACCTTATTAGATACCTACGGTACAGTGCGTCTCCACCAGTTAGTTCGAAGGACAAGATGCATGCAAGACGGGTTCGGAGTGTGACCTCAAACGTCCCGGTTCTGGGATTCCTTGGCAGCGTTTACGAAGTAATACAGTTGTTACACTTGGGTCCCAAGCGATGAACGGTCCTAGAGTGAGGATGGTTCGGTACTCACTTTGTATTACTTCACAATCCTATCGGTACTTCGTAGGTAGCCGGGCACTTGGACAAGAGCAGGAAAAGTGGACCAGAAGCATCATTAGATCACTGATTGGTAGCCGTTGTCGTACGGGATTGGCTGTCGTGAAGCCAGGGCAGGGTTTCAACCGCCCACAGGTACCGTTGCCCTGCCGACCTGCCCCTCTGTTTGTCCATCATCGTGCCCTCATGAGGCCCCAGCTCTTTCCTTTCATACCGCCAACGTCGCCGCTTCAGAAAAAGGCCCCGTCGGTCATTTACTTTCACCGGCACCGGCCACCGCTCACCTCTCACTCTTTTACCCAAGCTCCATCCATCTGCAAATCCAAAATAAGCCATCGTCAACGCTGCCGGGGAGAGTAACTGTCGCCCTCCTGCTTGCCCCAAGTCCATCGTCCACGGCACGGGGATCTACGAGAATCTCTGAAATTTTGCCCTCGAGATCCCGGCCATGTTGTATGGCAAAACATTAATTCCCTTTCGATCTTTCGGATTTCGTGTTGCGTTGCGCCTCAATATCTGCCGTCATCTTCCACCTGCTGCGGCGGTCACTCAGATGACCAACGACACCTTCGCACAGCATCAAGCATCACACAAATCTCGGCATTGTTAGAGATTTACAGTTACGTCTTAGAAAATGGTACTGGCTCCACCACCTCTGCCAACACGATTTCCGTGTTGGTGCAGAGCTATCTACTCTTGGGGAGGCGAGGTCAGTAATCCAGATTCGGACAACAGCTGTGCAAGTACGAAAAGACGAACTGACCGGTGGTCACAGTCCAAACGAGATCTGGGATTTATAGAGGGCGATCTGATAGAGTGCCTCAACGCCGGTGATGGCTCATGGTGGACGGGCAAGCTATGGCGAGACAGGAGAACAGTCGGCGTCTTCCCCTCCAACTTTGTCGAAGTGCTCCCACCCGGTTTCCGTCCTACATGCAGAGCCAACAGCCCTCTACCCCCAATAAACAGCACCCCGAGCACCAAAAACACTCCGCAAAAGTCCAGAACGTTCCGGAAGCCCTTCGAGGCATACGCAAAGGCACCCCACTACACCACCGCGAAACAGCCGGAGGTATACCGAGCTAGCCCCCACAGGCCTCGTGAGAGCTCGGATAGCTCGTTCCAAACCCCTGCCCGCGATCGAAAGTCCGTCTCGCCCGCGCCACCTCGGCATGAGCGCTACGACTCGAGAGCCGTCTCGCCTGCCCCGCCACGGTATGATGGTTATGGTCCAAGGGCCGTCTCGCCCGCTCCGCCACGGCATGAAGGTTATGGGTCTAGAGCCGTCTCGCCCGCTCCGCCACGGCATGAACGCTACGACTCGAGAGCCGTCTCGCCTGCCCCGCCACGGCACGAGGGTTACGATTTGAGAGCCGCCTCCCCCGCTCCGCCTCGACACGAGGGCTACGATTTAAGAGCCCGCTCGCCTGCCCCATCACGACATGATGGTTATGGTCCAAGAGCTGTCTCGCCCGCGCCAATGCACCATGCTTCTTATAACTCACGAGCTCCTTCTCCAGCACCACCATCTTTCGACTATAGGCAGTCACGTCGAGCCATTTCTCCTGCTCCTCCCATCCATCATCATTCTTCCTTCGACTCGCGAGCTCCGTCTCCCGCTCCTTCCTTTAACTATCAGCAACAAACATACTCACAACGTGACATGCGATCTGATTCTCCACCTCCACCGGCGCCTCCACCTCATCGGCACATCAATTTGGCCCGCCACGAGTCGAACGCGTCATACGGCAACCAACACATTAGTCGGCACGAGTCCAAATCGTCTTATGATGATCAATACAATAGCCGTCCTGGCTCAAACGGGTCATATGCACCGTACCGACCGTCGGCGCGAAACCCCTCTTACGAGAATCGGTTGGATGGGTCTCACACACCTCGCATGCCATCGCCCTGCCCCCCATCTCCCGGTGGCAGTCATATGACTCCCTCGCCTCTTCGGGAAGCTATGGACGGCATTATGGAACAACTTGATGCCTTGGGGAGGCGGCAGGACCCGGAACCGCCCGAGGAAGAGCCGTTGGATCCTTGGTCTCCCGAATCATTCGACATGGTCTCACAGCGCGCACGACGAAAAGGAGCACAGCGGCCGCAGACATCTATGGGCATTTCGCAGCAAGACGAGGGTTATGAGACCTGGAGTGGAGAGTCATCCCAGGATCCGTCCTACCAGAACGGACATCGAGAGGACGTTAGTGAAAGAGCTCAGCTCGGCAACTATGTCGAACGTATGGAGCATCGCCTGGGAAACGTGCAACGCCAGGAGCCTGGCGGGGCAGAACTCGATGACCCGCCACGGCCACCACCGAAAGGCCAAGCCTCTGAGCGCCCCAAGTCTTCTGCGGAGGGCCCATCTGTTCCAGAGAGGAAAATACGGGCCCGAAAATCCGCCTATGACATTGGTCGCAACCTCATGGGGCGGACTTTTACGATCAAGACCAACTCCACGACAACATCGGCCGGCAACCAAAGCTCGACTACCCAGAGCAGCGATAGGAGTTTGATGAGTGGGGTGTCGGCTGGGGGGATTAGTGCCACAAGCGCAGGTAGCCTGGCGAGAAAGAAGGAACAACGGGCTCAGAGCGCCTTGGGAATACGTGACCTAGACGACCGCCCAGAAACACCTTTTACCGGAGTGACATACCACAGCAGCCACGCATCCGATGCGCCGAGGCCAAAGTCTCAAGCCGGGCTGCAAGACGATGCGGATCCGGCTCTTGGTGGGCTGGTGCAACCAAAGCCGCCACCCAAACGAAGCCTTTTCAAGAAACTCTTCGACACAGCCAAGACGGGCGTTGCAACCAGTCGCACCAGCATAGCAACAGGCTCCAGCTCAGCCAAGTCACCTTCCCTGGCCAGCTCCAGGCCTCCTGGCTCTTCGCCTTTCTCTTCGGGAATCTCGTCCATAAAGGGCTTGGGTAACTCCCCAACAAAGAGAGACGCTGCCCGGGAAATGGGCCTGGGCAATGGGGTAGACTGGGTACAGGTCCGGCGGGACATTAACCGCTCCAACTCTTTGAGCCGGATTGAGAGGCATGAACGACGAGACCGGTGTCAAATGCTGGATTACCCGGCTCTGAATCCGGTAGACGAGCTTTACGAGGGATTAGACGGTGATGAGGGCGCCGATGGGATGCCAGTTCGCGAACCGGTCGACTTCCAATCGATCAACTTCAGCCAGGTCGACAAAAACACGAGGTTCGTTGGCAGCCTTCCACCCATGGTTACGGCCATCACACTGGCAACGACATACGTCTGTCGGCCATATCGCAGCGATGTACAGCGGCTTCGAAGCATCTTCACATGGGTCGCCGAGAGCATATGCTGGGAGGAGGATTTCGAAGGGCCCATCGACACCAGGCGAGTTCTCCAGACCAAGCGGGCTTGTGCAGAGGAGTATGCGGTCCTGGTGCTCGAGATGTGCACGGCTGTGGGTATCCACTGCGAGGTTGTTCGGGGATATCTCAAGACGCCGGGCGAGGTTCCAGAATATGGCATTATGCCTCGGCCGAACCACTGGTGGAACGCGGTTCTTGTCGACGACGAATGGCGCATGATGGACTGCTGCCTGGCCAGCCCATCCAACCCAAAACGCCATCTCTACTCGGGCGCCAACAGCTCGGCTGCGGACCCGTGGTGGTTCCTCACCAGGCCTTCGGAGCTGTGTTGGACTCACATCCCCGAGCACCACGAGCACCAACACATGTGTCCGCCACAGGCGTACGAGGTGCTCCTTCACTTGCCCAGCGCCTGCTCCCCATACTTCAGGAGCGGGATAGAAATGGTTGACTACAACACCTCCCTCACGCGCATTGAAGACCTAGAGATGGTCCATATCAAGCTCAACGTCCCTCCAGACGTGGAGGTTGCCGCAGAAGTTGAAACGCGAGCGTACGCACGGGACCAGGATGGCGACCTGTTTGAGACAGGCGATGTGGTGAAGAAGAGGGCTTTGGCTCAGGCAGAATGGTTCAATGGAACTAAACGATACACCATCAAGGCGCTCCTACCGGGGGACGAGGGCCAGGGAGTGCTGAAGATCTACGCGGGCAAGCGTGGGCTCATGCACAGCATTAGGGACATTCCTCACCCCATGGCGCTTGCCTTGCCCATTATGCACAATGGAGAGAACCCTCCCTACGACTTCGTCACGAGACACCCGACCCCTCACGCGCAACGGCACGACGTCTACGTAGTACAGCCTCAGTGCCAGCGGCTCGCCTTGAACAACACATTCGTATTCGCGATCCGTCAGCACCCAAGCTCGGCATCGGCTGTGGAAGGCTCGGCGATGACCCCCTCGTCGAACCCGGGAGGTGTCAGTCCTATTCCCTTCGCCCGCCCCGGTTCGGCTATGAGTATGGCGGCTTCTAGCACGAGCGGGTCGAATCCGAGTACAGCCAGCGGGTCGGGAGGGGCGGGTAAGAAGCCGGCGAAGCTGGCGATTCAGACGCCGGGCGGGAAGATCCTCAGGCTCATGCGCAAGGAGGAACGGAAGGGTATCGGTGTCGGTGGGCGTAATGCCAGGGAAGAGGAGGTGAGCGACGGGGGTATGTGGGAAACGATCATCAAGTGCTCTGAGAGGGGTACCTGGAGAGGCCTCGTGCTAGCAGATCGTACTGCTCGCTGGTGCGTCTTCGCGGAATGGACGTGCGTGTGATGGTGTTTCCCCTGTTTGTTTTTACAATGCATAGCATGCCCATGGCTGCCGCAGCGCCATGACACCCGGTCTCTATCCCGCTGGGACGGGGATAGGTTCTGGGGATCGAGTGCTCGGCCTGGACTAGGTGTTTGCGGGCTATCATGGGACGGTTAAGGGTCATATCTTGCATGTCGGGCGTCCGGAAACTCTTTAAGATTCGTAATTATGGTGGCGCCGGAAGCATTGCACTGGTATCGGTTCTTCTGGATCTTTACGAGTTCATTTCAAGACTGTGAAACGGGGCGATGCCCCTGACTCTCTCTTGGACAATGTGTGTGTTAAAGTTAAAATCTTGCTCTCTGGGGTAAGGTAGATTCTTGTAATACAGCCGAAATGAGATGGCTTTACTTCAAAGCTGGTTCTGAATATTAAGGTGAATTGTCCAGTCGTGACTTGCATGTTCTGTGGAAGTAATGGTCTTGTAGCCGCGCCATAGCTTTAGGGCTGCATGCGCGTAATGAATAAAAAAAAAAAAAAAAAAAGGTCTTGTCTGAAAATCCAAAGTGCTAGGTGAAGCTCCGATTCTCCATCCCGTACTCATTCAGCAAGTCTTTTCGCCCCTATTTCCATACCATAACTACTTTGGTACTCCTTATTACCTTAGTTTCGTACCTCCTTACCTTACCTTAGTTCAAGGTTCGAGATACTTTTCACCGAGGTCCCAGACATACCTTCGGTACTTCCTTGCCGAGTTGACCTGGGAAGGCACGAAGCTGGGGTACCGAAAAGGAAAAAGGTGAGAAGTCGGTGAGGGGTAGCTCGGTAGCTCTTGATAAGCCCACGATAAAAAAGGGGGCGGCAGGAGCCGGCGGGCGGTATTGCACGCGAGAGGTCCGTCTGTGTGAGTGATGTTCTTCGTACCTTATTCTAGGCATGAGTTGCTGGGTGGTTTCTCCCTAGATCCAATATTCAAACCTACTTACGTATCTTCCTTAGCATTTCCAAGGCATTGTCGCGACCTGTCTACCTTAATAACTTCATATTATAACAAAAGAGACCGTTCTTTTCAAGCCACAGTCGCCCATACCTCTTTTCCACCTCGAACACCGCCAAGACGATGCCTGACCGGTCCCATCCACCGCCGCCACCACCACCGGCAACAACAGCAATATCAACACACGACCCTACAACAAGCTCGACAGCACCACCAGCACCCCGCCGAGGCATGTCGCGCAGCTTATTCAAAAGCCATCTCATGCGTCGTCCCACCTCGGGCGCCGTTATTCCCAGCGCAGGGGTGGCCGCTCCACCGTCGTCTTCCTCCAACAACTCGGCCGAGACGCTGCGCCTTCCCAATATGGACATCCACAGCGACGACGCTTCGCCCGAGCTTGTGGTGCGCAACACGCATGGGGAGATTGAAATCTTCGGCGACTTGCCCATCTCTGGGATGCTGGATGACGGCGACGAGGGTGTCTTGCATGACCAAGAGGAGCCCAAGAGTGAGTTTTTTTTTTTTCCTGAGAGTCCCGAGTCAAATGGGAGGCTAGGGGTGGACGCTGACTTGGGGTGCTACCGTTGTGAAGAAGAGAGGCAGCGACTTGCCGATGCGGTTAAGCAGCATCAGCTCAACCATTCAGCGGTCCTGGATCATCCTGAAGGTACGTATATTCATCCTGTCTTCATCTCATGTGTCATTTCATCCATCATCCTTCCAGCGGCCGGTTTTTTGCTATGGGTATATGGATCCACACTACAGATTCCCACTAGCAACGCTATGCTTTTTTTTTTCTTCTTTTTTTTGGGGGGGGTTTTTTTTTTGCCCCCCTTCCCCTTTACGCCTGCTAACCCGCTGGATGATGTGAAGAGGTCCTTGATGACATCAGGCGAAGCCTCAAGGCCAAAGTGGCGGCCCTCGAAGAGGACCAGTGGATGTATGAGGCCGGGGATTGTACAATGCGCCGCTAGAAGCAGCCTAAGTATCCCTGGCCGCCTCTTCCTGGCTTGACCTGGCGCGGGACACACCATCCCAACGACGCCTAACGGCACAGACGCCGATGCTTTTCTTTCCCTGATGCGAGCCAGTGTCACGGGTGAGAACGCCGAATCGACCAGCGACCAGAATTTTGGGTTGGGTCCGTGCTACGTGGCCCCGTCTCATTCCTAAAATGCCACGAGTACACGTCTCCAACCGACAAGCGTTGACATTCCCGATTCTAATCGAGCCCTTCGGCTGCTGGTGCCTCAACCCGCCTGATGGGGTTCTTCCTCTGGGGCATGCCTCCACCCGGAGCTCCGCCGAACAAGCTTCCCATCATTTCCATCAGCGGGTTGGTCTGCCTAGGTCTCGAGATACCAAAGTACATCTCCGCAATCATTTCCAGCGCCTCATTCCACGTGCCGATCTCCGCAATGCTAGTCGAGTACTTTGCGATCAGAGCCCGGTAGGCCTCGGGGGCGCCGCGCTGGATAGTGAGCAGGAGGAGCCCGAGGAAGTTGAAGAGGGGTAGGCTGGGGAAAATCCGAATGTCGCAGGTGGAGCTGCTGACGTCCTGGACGCCGGCGTACCCGTCATCGACGAGGGCGCTGGCGAAGATGCGGTAGGCCGTGTTGGCGGCACGGACGTTGCCGACTAGCAAGTATGGCAGTATGGCCCGGGACGCGTAGACTGGCGCTGTGTGCGACTCGTCCTCCTTGTACCATGCGTACTCCATCCGGGCCAATACCTCAGCGGAGTCTTTCGTTCCTAATAGCAAGTGTCGTTCTGCTTCGTATGCTTCGTGCTCTTCTGCGTAGAGCGATCCCGCGACGTGGTGGAGTTCGCTGTCCCCGGCGGGGTAGTCGCCGAATTTGCCCGACCAACTGTTGTCCAGCGTCATGTTAGTCAAGCTATTTTCGCAGTCAAATTCTTTTTCTGTAAGCTCCTCCGCGGTATGCGTCGACTATACGCGGACATGCCTCGTCTCGTGCAATGCCGCGTAGCCTCGCCGCCGCAACCCGGGGAAGAATTGACAAGCAAGGCACCACTCACGTAATCATCTCTCCGATAAACTTCTTCCTTGTGGGTTCCTCAGGGTCGAACAACCGCATCAGTGTCAGTAGCTTCCCCTTGGACGCAGAGTCTGGTTTGAGCTCGGCCTTATTGAACACGTCGACAAGCAAGACGGACAAGTCACCGCCCGAACCGCCCTGGCCGGCACGAAGGAGAGACTGGGCGACGTTGAAGAGGATTTCTGCCGCCGCGGTCCAGTTTGATGCTTTGATATACCGGGCGGCGACGACCCGGGTCTGCTGCTGGGCTTCGTAGAATTGGCCTTCTCTTATCCGGTCTTGGAGCCGGGTGATGATCTTTTCGATCTTGTCGGCTTTGCTGGACGCCATCGCGGGAGCTTGGAGACTAGTGAGTATATCCTGAAGAACACAATAAAGAGAACAGGCAGAAAAGACGAAGTTCTTAGACTTGGGTAAGGACGTTGTTGGTCTTGTTGGTTTGGGTGACACAGGTCCTGAGATGACGAGGGGAGATGCTTATGTCGTGGTACGTACCTCCAGGTTCTGTGAGCTTCTGCCCCGCCATCAGCTGGTCCTGACTACGGCAAGAACCAAGCCACACTCTCTTAGGTTCACCGTTGACACCCAGTTATCACCAATCAAGGCTGGCGTGGTGTAATGGTAACATCTAAGCTTCCCATGCTTAGGCCCCTGGTTCGATTCCTGGCGCTAGCAAAACCAGCTTCAATCTTTTGCCCTTTTCTACTTTTTTTTCTTCTTTTCCATGTTCGTTTCTCAATTTTTCCATGGTGTCTTACTTCGTAGTTTGTTCTGCCTCGATCCTGGGGCTCATGATCCCAGCAGTGCTATTACGTTCTCAATAGATATCTACAGTCCTACCGACCACTTGGATTCAGGCCAATCTGAGATCCTGTATGAATCTTGCCTCATTGACAGCCATGCCTTCGTTGCCGCCAGTGACCATGACAGTCTCAGCATAGAAAATTGCTACTACACTATGTATAGGAGTGCCGTGCTATCTGCACATAGGGAACGTTAATGAGGGAAGACTGCATGGATTAGATGACGCAGCTCAATGGTAGGTGACCAGCAATACGAGTAGAATTGAATGCTTGGTCGAAAACGACGGCCAGAGGACCTTCTATGAAACCTACTAATCACCGATTAAACGCCCTTATGCCTTTTCCATTTTCCATGTCGGCTTTGTGCCGCGTCATCGCCGGATTGCTGCGGACTTGGTGAACCGGGTATCTGACTCGAGTTAGAGACCAAGCAATCTCCGCGTAGAGAGGATGCTACAGACCATTGTCTCTATTCACTTTGCTTACAAAATTTTCTCAAAGACCCGTCGGGTAGTCTTATACCACGAACACCAGTCGAAAGAACCACCTGGCTTATTGCAGTGCTAATTTCAATTCGTACCGCACCAGAAGTCTACCCCCGTACGTACTCCCTACCTCCGGGGATAGCCTGGCGGGTTGAAGCCTGGTGGCGGCATGAATCCCGGAGGAGCCGGGGGTGTGCCAGTCGGTCCAGGAGGGCCATTGGCAAGCCCCGGGGCAGGAGGCGCACCCCCAAACCCTGGCGGCACGGGGGGAGCAGTCCCGGGAGCTGCCCCAGGAGGCGCACCGGGCGGCCCACCAGGAGGCCTAAAGCCAACTGGTTGGCTCCCGGGGTGGAAATCAGCTGGGTTTGGATAGGCTCGTTGTGCCTGAGGCGGGCGTGCCGGTAGCCCAGAAGGCGGCGGCGGAAGTGGCACGCCACCGCGACCGTAAGGGGCAGGGGGACCACCGCCAAGGCCTTGTGGCGAAGGCACGACGTTATAGGGGGATGGACCTCGCGGCGGGGGCGCGAAGCCAGCCGGCATCCCGGGTGCTGGCATTGGTTGACGCTGGAGTGGATGGCCGCTGCCCGGATCGAAGCCGGCCGGTGGCGGCGCCGTGGCGGCGGGTGATTGCGCTGGAGGCACGGCTGCAGCGGGGGTGGACGACGCCAGGAAGGCCGGTGGCACTGGCTGAAGCTCCGGCAAGATGTTCCTCTTCTTGGCCTGAGCCGCCAGCTCACGCTCAGCCTTATCACCGTGACGTTCTCCCTTGCCGTCCTTCTTGAAGGCGTACTGGACGGCAACTTCCTTGCTGAGGATGTATTGGCCATTGAGATTCGCGACGGCCGCATCGGAGCTGTCGAAGTCGGCGTACGAGATGAAGCCAAAGCCCTTGGACGTTCCGTTGTCTTCGCGTGCGACCTTGGGCATTGTGAGGAGGGGTCCGAACCGCGAGAAGGTGTCGTACAGGGTCCTCTCGTCGACCGTGGGGTCCAGATTTCCGATGAATAGCTCGGCGCCCACCTCTGCTTGCTTTTGTTTGTCGGCACTAGCTTTGTTGACGCGCAAAGATTTCCCGTACAGCTTGATCCCGTTCATGACGTTGGCTGCGTACTCGGCGTCAGCTGGGGTTCGAAACTCGACGAAGCCGAAGCCTTGGTGGTTCTGAGTGACGCGGTCGCGGGGCATGTAGATGTTGTGTATCGGGCCCATTTGAACCATGATTTCGTACACCATAGCTGGCGAGGCGCGCTCATCGATGTTTCCGATGTAGACCGTCGCCTCCTTGTCCTGTTCCCTAGTAGGCAGGTTCAATGTCAGACGTTGAGCGGATGGGAATAGCGGGAAGGGACAGGAACACCTACCAATGCCTGTTTTGCGCCATCTTGAGTTTTGTTTCACAGGAAGACGGTCGAGACGGGCTCGGGTGGTTGATGACAGCCTGAAGGCGAAGACAATTATTTGCTGCGATTCAAGCCGTTTAATCCATCTAGTACTCCCTGGTGTAAGTCGCGGTGGAAACTCGAGGTCGTTGCAGATGGTGGTCGTATGTTTTTACAAAAGATTCAGTGCAGCCCGTTCCAGGTTGGTAGCATGAATATTAAGGTACATGGGTACTTAGCTTAAGTACTTCGGATTTCGTATTTCGTATTCCGCAGCTCCAGAGGCATCGTATCCACACCTATGCCGAAGAATGATCCGGATTAAGCTGTTTTTCCGATCGACCAGAATTTGTCGCGACAGAAAGTCAGATAGGGCATCGAAAGCAGAGAAAGGAGCTTTGAGAGTACGGAGATAGACACGCCTCGCAAATCGATCAACCACAGCACTTCAACGACCGTCGATCTCAACGTCTATTTCGAGGTTCTCTTTACCAATATCTTCGCATTATCATATTTCAATCCACAAGATGTTCACGCTTTCCGAGGAGTCGAAGGTAGGGATTATCCAGTCGCCATCTCAATACAGGACTAGGAGAGACTGATGGCCGGGGACTTCATAGGAGCGCATCGGCAAGATCATCGAGGTCTCGCGCATTGCTATTCACTAGTACGTTTTCCCAAGAGAGGATGCTCAACAAACATGCATTTGTCCATGACTAACAATGCTTCCTTCTCCAGCGGATATCTACCTCTCGTTCTCTATCTTGGTGCGGACGAAAACAGTTCTTTCTCGGTTTATACCCCCCCAAGAGACTAACGCTATTTCTTCTTCAGGCTGGACGCGCAGCGAGCCTCGTCCCGCATTCATCCGGTAGGTTCCGCCGGTTTGGTCATGCTTTTAGTACCAAGTCGCTGATTAGAACGCCGCAGTCTCCTCTCTCCTCTCTCCTAAGCAACACCGATACTATTCGAACCGAAACTCTGTATTATAGACCATCATCACTGGGGGGTCACAGGCATTTTCGCAGTCATGGCTGCCTGGGTTGGGCTGTTAATTCTGGGGAGGCCGGGGTGTAAGTGAGGGCTGGCATACGGCCGACGACCCCCTCACTCATGATCTGTACAATTATTGCAAACAATAAAAAATGATGAAATCTGCTCCAATAACACTTCCCTTGGTCGCACAAACATCTGATGGGGCATGGTTTCCAGTGCAGATTCAAGCGGATATATGGTCGAGGTGGAGGGCTGTGTGGCATTCTTCGTGGACGGGTGCTTATATTGCCCATTGCCGCTGTTCAAATGAATCCCTTGATCACTATCACCGACAGCAACTGGCATTGTAGTGAGCACTCCATGGCGTCCTAAGTTGTTCACATTAGATACACCATCTTCCATACCTTCTCAGATCGAACACCTAAGACCAGGAACGGATATCTTGTTTTATTACCATGCAAACCAAAAAGAGATATAAGACGGGCGGAAGAGCAAAAAAAGATCAATTTAACCTTGCCGAAACACGGAATCGAACCATGGATCTTCTGTTTACGAGACAGACGCCTTACCACTGGGCCACTCCGGCTTGTTGGTTGATATGGCGCTTGTGAAAAGTGCTCCTTGTACCTTTTACCGCTAACTCAACCACCATTCATGCAAGGTTGCATCAGACCCAGGACCCAGCTCCACCCAGCGCGCGATCAACAAAACATCCTGAAAAGCTCGTTATCAAACACGCTCGCCGTTGGCAAACGCCTCGACGACTCGGCGACGGCTCGTCAAGATTTCGGGATCTCCCACCCTCTCACCCAAGAGCGGTAACAATGTGAACCGTAATAATACTAATAATCCTTATTTATTCTCTCATTCATGTCGCAAATCAGCCATGGCGGTCTTTCACCCGCCCTCGTTGAGTCGGTCGCTGGCCTCTCCGCTGGTGCTGTCGCAACCCTGATTGTCCACCCGCTCGACATAGTTAAGACTCGAATGCAAAGTACGGCGAATATTCCACTCTGCTTCTCTCTGTAGGATGACCCTGTTTTTGCTAATTACATTGTGTAACCAGTTCACCGAAGCTCCGCGGGCGGACCACAGATCCCGCCGACGACCATCGCAGTCATCCGTTCCCTCACTCAGAATCCGAAACCACTCGCTTCTCTCTACCGCGGACTAGGCCCTAATCTTTTGGGAAATGCCACGAGCTGGGCGTCTTTCTTCTTCTTCAAGTCCCGCGTCGAGCGCGCTGTGGCGAACTGGAAAACACAAGCAGGCCCCTTTGACACCGATAACCGGGTCCCAACCAAGGAAGCTCTCGCTACCTACGATTTCTTCCTTTCCTCTGCGCTTTCCGGTGCCCTGACCCAGGTCCTCACCAACCCGATCTGGGTTCTGAAGACCCGCATGCTCTCCTCCGACCGCTCCGCCGAAGGCGCTTACCCGTCCATGGTCGCTGGCGCTCGCCGCATCTACGCGACCGAGGGTTTCCGCGGGTTCTACCGCGGCCTCGCCGTTGGCCTTGTTGGCGTCTCTCACGGTGCCGTTCAGTTTGCCGTATACGAGCCCCTCAAGCGCATGTACCTCCGGGGCAAGGGGCTCCCGGAGAGGCTAGATCAGTCGCGGGGAACTGATGGCGGAGCTGCCCGCATTGGCAACGAGGCGACCATCGTGATATCCAGCGTCTCCAAGCTGACTGCCGGGGCCGTGACATATCCTTACCAGGTGCTGCGGAGTCGGCTTCAAAACTATGATGCCGATAAACGGTTCGGACGCGGCATCCGGGGCGTGGCTTCCATGTTGTGGAGGGAAGAAGGTATCAGGGGCTTCTATCGGGGCCTTGTACCCGGCGTGGTGAGGGTAATGCCCGCTACCTGGGTCACCTTCTTGGTGTATGAGAACGTTAAGTATTATCTGCCCCGTCTTCTTGGCGAATAGACTCGTTATGGCTTCCAAAAGAGTCCGATAGACTCGTCAGCCCTCTTCCTTACACGGGAGAAAGTCACCTTCTCCGTCCATAGAGACGCAGAGTTTCTACTCAGGTGATCTTACCTTAAGGCAATATCATCCACGCTCTCCGAGCACCGAGCGTCACCATTTACTCATGTTTGTTTCCCTGCTTTCTAGCATCGACATACGAACATGCTAGCACTTATAGTTGTGATGTTACTCCAACTCTCGAAAGACACAGTCGAATTCGCTCCTGTCGGTGTTGCTGGCCATGCGCCCGCGTGTATTTGAATAACTACTCAGTGCCTCCGAAGCGGAATCGGGCGTTAACCGGAATCGACCGACTGTTCTTTCAAAGTCGCATCCAAAACATAGACAACAGCCATTTTCCGTCAAGGTCAAGTGGGGGAAATACAAGGTACAGAAGAATCAGGAATATGTGTCCTAGGAAGCTTGTAAGAAGTGGAATAGCTCGGAGCTCCGTGAACAGCATCACGGCCAAATAACCGTTTGCATGCAATCGAGAAGAGATGGTTGGTTCGATCTACGCACTTTGGACTGCCAGAGGTTGACCTAGCTTTATCAAGGACACACAACGCCTGTATGCACGAATCGGAGTGACTAGAGATATATAGACGGGCACACCGCTCAGGATATCTCACTGAATTCCGCGGCTGGGAACGCAGACAGATAGATGGCGGTCTGCTTCGCCCAGACCAACACTTTTCACATCAACACACAAGCATATCAACTGTTAGTCAACGACGAAACAACGCAACTCAGAATGGACGGCAACGTACAGTCAAAGATGGCTCTGGCCGTTTGTAAACGAGTAGACACCACCATCACCGGTTGAACCCCTCACTAATGCAGACTCATCTTGATACCCTGTCCAGCTGTGCCCTGCCGCTACGTATGTACCCTATTTCTCCCCGGTGCCGGAGTTATCTCCGGCGGTCAGCATCACAATTTCAGGGTCTGGCATGAAAGAGATGAATGGCGCCTGGGGTCGAGCTGACGACTGAAACACACAGAGCGAACTTCACTAATCACGATACAGGAAAAATAAAGGGATGCCTGGAGCCTTCTCTTTCTTCGCATATGCACTCCCTTGACTCTGGTTCGTGCAGTGTGTCTCCGTCGAGTCCTCGGCATTACTTCGCTCAAAACTACCCCTTTGGATCACCAAAAAGCTGGGCAGGCAGACAACAAAAAAAGGCTCGAAGCATGCCCAAGGTAGTATCGGTCTCGTTGTCGCGGAAAGGTCCGTCCTAGCTGCATGTTGAAGGGACGAGGTCGGTGTCGATACTGGCGCCAATACCTATACGAACATGATTATCAGTCCACTTCGACTTGGGGCAACATCTGAACATCATGCCCCGCCTCGATGTGTCCAGATACTGGTTATTATGGAAGGGGCAGGGCGATTCCCCAGCCCTGATCATGACGTGCGTCAGCAAGACATTTCAGTGATGAACAAATATCATCCCGCTGAGATCTGTGTCCAAGGTCGCGAAATTTACTTCACTTGATGAGACTTGGCGAGAAACACTTATTTGAAGGCAGATGCAAAGTCCCACAGACGAAACAACAGGATGGATACGATGTAAACAGCCAAACAAGGCAGGCGCGCTTCAGCCGAATGGCCTACGAAACACTATCGACAATATCTCTTCCCATACCGCGCAGAACATTGGCTGTCCTCTGATTACGATGTATTCATATTATTATTAGGTGCTCAAGATTTCCCAGGGAGGGACCCGCCACGACCAGAGGTGGCTGATTAAAACAATCGAGGCGTTGCCCAACCCCTGTTATGCTTGCATACCCATCCGTTGCCCTGGGACCCGATCTCCTTCGTGGCGCAGATGCTTGCGGTGATCGGGAAACGCGGGAAACGGAGAGAACTGAAACGAAGAAAAACAACGACTCCTCGGTGCCAAGCGGACCCTATGCTGATCCTTCGACTTTGACCCTAACCCACCACCCCAACCAGTTCGCCTCTCTTTGCCTAGGTAGTTGGTAAGACACCTTAGCACGATGAAAATGGTAGGACTTTGCGAGCCGGGGTGGTAGGGAGCAACGTGACTACAGAGCAAGTAATATTGACAAGGGGACCTGGAGAGCTGAAATGACTTGAATGAGATGCCCGTCAACGAGTTGTTATCATTTAGGTATCACATCACCTTTAACCCCTGTGGGCGGAGGGATATGATGAGAAGTATAATTACCCTTTACAGCGTAGATATTGGTCCGGGGGATCTGACCCATGGCCCGCGTGCGTCCGTGGTAATTTTTCGGGCACATGAGACCGGATTGCTCGGCCCCGGCCCCCTCGCCTCCTTGCTACCGGGGTCATCCCGTTTTGAATGAATGCCAGGATTTTGCGAAAACATGATCGCCAGCTCGGCTGTCTGTGCTCGTGCGTG